GCCGCCTGGTGCCAGTGCCTCTGACCTGGTCTGTGTTGCAGGTGTTCGGCGTTCATCTGAACAAGTGGCAGCTGGACAAGAAGCTGGGCTGCGGCTGCCTGTTCCTGTACGGCGTGTTCCTCTGCTTCTCCATCATGACGGAGTTCAACGTGTTCACCTTCGTGAACTTGCCCATGTGCGGGAACCACTGACCGCTGGGCCACCCGCAGAGGCTCCGTTCCTTCTCTGTGCAATACCAGGCCCGGCCGCACCCGAGTCACACGGGCCCCAGGGGCCATGGCGTTCGCCTCTCCCGGCTGTCCACAGGCTGCCACTCCTGTCCTGGTGGGCCCCGCACCCCCCACCCCCGCCTGCCACTCCTGTCCTGGTGGGCCCGGCACTCCCTACCCCTTCCCTCGCTCCCCCACCTCCCACCCAGCCCCTCTCACCCATCCACCCCTTCCTCCCTCTTCCATGTGAAGACGTCCAACATCCACGTGAATTTTCAAGCTCCATTTTTGACTCACTGACTGAGTCTAGAAAAACTGGCTGCTAACTGGCCCAAGCCAGGCAAAACTTACTACAATCCCTCCTCCTTTTTTAAGTTATTTGATGGAAAACTAACCTAATTTATGACCTGAGACTGTTGAAGACATAGAGAGGAGAGGGTCCGCACAGGGAGATTTGGGGACTTTGTTTTGTTTGGAGGTGATTCCTAGGTTACTGGGTTTGGGGGGGTATTTTATTATCGGGGGGAGCTCCCCCTTTTATTCCTTTTCTTCCAGAGATCAAGAGCTCTCTTGCGCCTTCTTTCACTGGGCTCTGGATTAGTCGATGAGCCAAAGGTTATACTGCGTGTCTTCTGGGATTGAACCGAGCACGCTGGCGTATGCATGGGTTTAGTGCTTATTAGAGGAACCTCTGGGCGAGGCCGCCAGGAGCAAATGCATGACCTTTTATACCCAAGGACGCCTCCTTCAAGTCCTGTGGGCATTACCTAAGGGGGGGTGGGGCGCAAGCTTTTAGACGAAGAAGACCGCTTTCCTCATGTCCATTACCACCATCTCTTTCTCACTAGGTTCTTTCTAGTTTTTCAAGCAATAGTTCTAGCCTGCCTGAGGCCTTTGACGAGGGGGCCTTGATTAAACTATCCATCCGCGAGGCACCAGGCAGTCAGCGACAGAAGCTTCCCCAACTTGTGCGTCTCTGACATGCGCTCTTGTTGCTTGGTGTTTGGGGTGACAGGGAGTGACCCAGAGGCCACCACTGCTTTTCATGCAGGAGTTACAGACACTGGTTTCTTGGAAAATGGAGAGAAGCGCACTTTGCACAGACGTCGTCAGTTAAGTCCCAATTTGCCACTTGGTATCGAGTACACTGGACCTTGGGCAAACGTCCTTCCCGATGGGACATCACTGCCAAGCTGGCCCAGCGCCACCCCCTCCCCTCCTGGAGGGATGGCCAGGGAAGGAGAAAACAGAACTGACACCACAGAATGTGTTCAATGCAGACTCACTCAAGGGCATAAGTTATTGTGAGAGTTTTTGCCAATCACTGCTCAACAACCCTGCTAGATTTTGTATGATGCTGAAGTATTATGCAGACTAACCCCACCGAGTTGAGACACACCCATGCTCGTTACACTTGTATTTATTGAAACTGTGGATTCTTGCCCGTGCTGTCCCTTGTATTTACTTTAAGCACTGATCACTTATCATTCATTCAGTATGGTTTTCCCCGTCCCGTGTACACATTCTGGTATGAATTGTAAAAATAACCTGGTTGATCGTTTCCGATGGGTGCAGACCAGGGCCAGCGCGAGCCAATGGAGCACCTGCCCAGCTGAGGAACAGGATTGGAAAATCACCAATTTGGGCTCTCCGAGCTAAGACACACTTACTGATTCTGTTGCACATTTTGCACTGGTTTATGGCGATTGTTTTCTTGGACGGATAGTGTAAAATAAACTTCTCTGTTCTGTATCCTTCCTCAAGCAGAGTCCATTACTTTCTCTCCTGCAATGGTGTCTGTTTTACGTTGAGGAGAATGCATGGAAGGGAAAAGGAGGTCAGTGTCAGTGGGTGGCCAGTTGTTTGTGCTTCTCTTTTTGGGGGGTTGGTTCAGCTGGAAATCTGGTGGATGTGAGATTGTAAGAATAAAATAGAGGGACCAGCAGATGGCATAATGGTTACGTTGCTGGGCTCCCACATGGCCGACCACTGTTCGAGTCCTGGTCCTAGAGGACCAGGAAGCTCACAGATACATGTGCGTGTGTGCCCAAAATCCTGAGAGGAGAATGGAGGAAAGGCCTTTGACGAGGGGGCCTTGATTAAACTATCCATCCGCGAGGCACCAGGCAGTCAGCGACAGAAGCTTCCCCAACTTGTGCGTCTCTGACATGCGCTCTTGTTGCTTGGTGTTTGGGGTGACAGGGAGTGACCCAGAGGCCACCACTGCTTTTCATGCAGGAGTTACAGACACTGGTTTCTTGGAAAATGGAGAGAAGCGCACTTTGCACAGACGTCGTCAGTTAAGTCCCAATTTGCCACTTGGTATCGAGTACACTGGACCTTGGGCAAACGTCCTTCCCGATGGGACATCACTGCCAAGCTGGCCCAGCGCCACCCCCTCCCCTCCTGGAGGGATGGCCAGGGAAGGAGAAAACAGAACTGACACCACAGAATGTGTTCAATGCAGACTCACTCAAGGGCATAAGTTATTGTGAGAGTTTTTGCCAATCACTGCTCAACAACCCTGCTAGATTTTGTATGATGCTGAAGTATTATGCAGACTAACCCCACCGAGTTGAGACACACCCATGCTCGTTACACTTGTATTTATTGAAACTGTGGATTCTTGCCCGTGCTGTCCCTTGTATTTACTTTAAGCACTGATCACTTATCATTCATTCAGTATGGTTTTCCCCGTCCCGTGTACACATTCTGGTATGAATTGTAAAAATAACCTGGTTGATCGTTTCCGATGGGTGCAGACCAGGGCCAGCGCGAGCCAATGGAGCACCTGCCCAGCTGAGGAACAGGATTGGAAAATCACCAATTTGGGCTCTCCGAGCTAAGACACACTTACTGATTCTGTTGCACATTTTGCACTGGTTTATGGCGATTGTTTTCTTGGACGGATAGTGTAAAATAAACTTCTCTGTTCTGTATCCTTCCTCAAGCAGAGTCCATTACTTTCTCTCCTGCAATGGTGTCTGTTTTACGTTGAGGAGAATGCATGGAAGGGAAAAGGAGGTCAGTGTCAGTGGGTGGCCAGTTGTTTGTGCTTCTCTTTTTGGGGGGTTGGTTCAGCTGGAAATCTGGTGGATGTGAGATTGTAAGAATGAAATAGAGGGACCAGCAGATGGCATAATGGTTACGTTGCTGGGCTCCCACATGGCCGACCACTGTTCGAGTCCTGGTCCTAGAGGCTTCAAGCTCACAGATACATGTGCGTGTGTGCCCAAAATCCTGAGAGGAGAATGGAGGAAAAAGGATTGCAAAGTATTCATCCATCCTCGGGGTGATTTCCCACTTTCTGTCTCTCTCTTTCTCTCTTTTCTCTTTTTTTTTTCTCTCTCCCCAGCAAGTGCACATGCCCTATAGCAAAAATCTCTCTCTAAAAAAGAAGAAGAAGGGAAGCAGCAGTTAGCGTAATGACTATGTTGCTGGACTCCCACGTAGTCGACCGCAGTTCATGTCCTGAACCCGGTGGCTTAAACTCACGCCGGGCACGTGTGCGTGTGTGTCCAAGATCCCGAGAGGAGAATGGAGGAGAAGGGATTGCGGCGTGACCATCCCCCCTGGGGGGTGATTTCTCACTTTCTATCTCTATGTCTCTCTCTCTGTCTGTCTGGCGAGCGCACGTGCCCTATAGTGAAAAAAAAAAAAAAAACTCTCAAAAAAAGAAGAAGAAGAAGAAAGTGGGAAGACAGTGGGTTCCCTCTAAATCTTCAAGGGACTTTGGACCTGTCATGGAATTCTAGAATCCCATCTGTCCTAGAATGGACATGGCATTATGTTAGGAATTCATTCTCTCAGGTGGACATGGAAGGGGAATGACACAGTAACAATGACATTTAGCAGTAATCAAGTTCTCCATCTTCTCTTATTTTATTAGTTTTTTTGGTCTTATTTTTATGCCAGAGGGCACATGCATGCATGCACACATGAGAGAGAGAAAGCATCCACCCAATGGGACTTGGTCATGCTACAACCCTTTTTCTCCCAATTCTCTATCCTGTCAGGATCCTGAGTTCCTATGTGCACACCTGTGTGTTTTCCAAACCATTGAAACCAGAGTTGACCCCCTGTGGATCACGTGGGATCTGGCCTCCTCCACACAGCACTTAATCACTGTCCCACAGAACTAGGCCATGCTCATGTTAGTTAAGACTTCCTCAAAGCTGATTCCCTACCAGAGACAGTAACACACGGTTGTAATAAGCCATGTTCTAGGCCTATGTGACTCTCAAGAAATGATTGCCTGGACTCAAAATTAGTAAACAAGCCAGATTTCCACCTGAAACTCAACACAATTCATGTATAGAAGTCAGAAGAAAAATAGCTACTAATTCATAGCACTGACTTTACTTAACAATTTTAAAAGTTATTCCTGGGGCCAGCAAATGGCATAGCAGTTACATGTCACTGAACTCTCGCAAGGCCGATGGTGGTTCGAGTCCCAGACCTGGTGGCCTGAAACTCACACCAGGTACATGTGCATGCATGCCCAAGATCCCAGGAGAAGAATGGAGGAGAAGGGATTGCTATGTGGCCATCCCCTCTGGGGGGTGATTTCTCACTTTTCCTCTCGCTCTGTCTCTCTCTGGTGAGCGCATGCACCCTAAGGCAAAAACCTATTAAAAATTATAATAAAATAAAATGAAAAGATATTCCTGGGAAGGGTGAGAAAATGCTAGGTACTTAGCTTTGCATTTTCATATATTAAAGAGTTTTTCTATCCTATTTTGTTTGCATTTTACAAATATACCCGCAGATATGAGGCAGTGTTCTTATTATACATTTGGGGGCTTAGAAAACATCAGATTCTTTCATATTAAATATTTCGCTAGCCTAGTCTTAGCTTTACTCTTAGTGTTCAGCAAAGACATTTCATTAAAAGCTTGTTTTTTGTGTGTTGATTTTGTATTCTCCAACTTTATTGATTTAGTTTTTCATTTCTAGGGATTTTAGGGGGAATCTTTAGGGTTTTTTGTACATGAAATCATGCCTTCTACAAACAGGAACAATTCAACTTTCTTCTTTCCAGTTTGGATGCTCTTTATTTCTTTTGTTTAATTGCTCTGGCTAGGATTTGATTTTTTTTAAACAACTTTTTTCACT